TTCACTCGAGCATGAGTCTCGCTCTTCTCCACTCGTGGACCGCCTCCACTGGAGACAGCCCCGCTCTCCCGTTTCTCCTCTCTCAGCGAGCCACGGAGAGGGAAACAGCAGAGTCAGGGAACAAGCAATTGGTCTGACTGATCTCATGCCGGCGCTGTGCCTGCGTGCTCTCTCTCCGTTGCACTCGGATCCGCCGCAGAAGGGCAGTGAGCTACGCTCTTACTGAGACAGAATGCTCACTCGAGCATGAGTCTTGCTTTTCTCCACTCGCGGACCTCCTTTCACTGAACAGCCCCGCTCTCACGTTTCTCCTCTCTCAGCAAGCCCCGGAGAGAGAAACGACGAAGCCTGGGAACTAAGCAACCGGGTCTGAACGATCTCACGCTGACACAGAGCCTGCGTACTGAGACAGACCGCTCTTACTACGAGAGTTCACGTCTCGCCTTCTTGAATAAAAACGGCTACGAGCGGATTTGAGAGAATGCGCGCAGCATTTTTGATCTGCCTGAGTGTTACAGAAAGATCATCAAAACTCCTCTTCTAATGAGCGGTTTGATCTTTTTTAGGTGGATTAAAAGAGAATGCTGTCACGAATGATTATCATCACTGACAGCTTCAAATTGGACGTATCTGGGCCACGCCCATGCTGAGGCAGCGCGCACGGGGGCTGACTGCTCTGCTATGAGAACATTAAGTCTGACGAAGCATTTTCTGAAAGCATTTTCAGGGAAAAGCAAATTTCCTCTTCTGAGTGTGGGGTCCCCATACGGCAACCAGCCACTCAATTTAATCCAACGCCTTGTCACATGGGCTGAGGCCTGACAGGCCATGCCTGTAGTGCCAAACTGGGTGTTGGAGACAATAAAACAAGGTTATTCACTCCAATTCGCTCGAATACCCCGCAATTCAACTGCGTGGTTCCCACCTCAGTTTAGAGCAAAGATGCACACGTCCTGCGCTCAGAGGTGATGAATTTGCTGGCGATATGAGCCGTAGAAATGGTTCACCCAGCTCAGAGCGAGTCAGGATTCCAATGGGTACCACTCACCCTCAAAGTGTTTCAAAGGATGCTGGACCTCATGCCGGCGGCATCGCCAGCGCTACAGTTGGGTCTGCTTTGTATATGCCCCTTTCAGCGCTGGTTGAAACCACGGGTTCCATCCCATGCGTGGTGTCACGAACGCCTGCAGATCAGGGTGCGTCAGCCCTGGCCCCTGGGGAAAAAATTCCCGCTAGATGGAACAGGGCGTGGCCATAATGAATGGTTTGCAGAAGGACAGTTGTCACAACAGATGCCTCTAACTCAGGTTGGTGGGCGCTGTGCGAGGGCATATCGACTTTCGGCCACTGGCCGAAGGCGGATGGCGGAAAAAGGCTTCCACACCAACTGCCTGGAAATACTAGCAGTATGTCGAGCCTGTCAGTTCTTCCTGCCAGTCCTAAAAGGGCACCATGTGCTCAAACCGCGCTCGCTGAGAGCAGCGCATATACCGGGCAAATTGAACCAAGGAGCAGACATGTTATCAAGGAGCAAGGTCCCCTCAGGGGAGTGGACGCTCCATCCGCAGACAGTTCAGAGGATCTGGGAGATCTTCGGCGAGGCCGAGGTGGACCTCTTCGCCTCCGAGACAACTCTCACTGCCCAATCTATTTCTCAAAGACCAGGGAAGCATTGGCCCACGATTGGCCCAACCTCCTTCTTTATGCTTTTCCCCTGATCGCTCTGATCCCACAGGTAATCAGGCGAGTGTGGGAACGAGAACACAGGGTTCTCCTGGTGGCCCCCCTTTGGATGAACCAGCTGTGGCTATCGGAGCTAACTCAGCTATTGATAGCTGACCCCTTGGCCTGTTCCGCTGAGACAGGATCTCCTCTCTCAAGCAAACGGGACAGTATGGCATCCTCGGCCCGACTCTGGGCCCAGCACCTTTGGCTGCTTGATGGGAGCCTTCGAGCCTCCCAGAGCGAGTCTTAAACATAATTTTGGAGGCTATAGCTCCGCCTACGAGACGCCTCTACGCCTTAAAGTGGTCTTTTTTTTCTCCGCTTGGTGTCTAAACCGGTGTTTTTTCTCTGCTTGGTGTCAAAGACCCTCATACTTCCGATTTGACAGAGGTGTAGTCATTTCTGCAAGAGCTGCTGGATAAGGGACTTTCCACTCTCAAAGTCTATGTGGCAGCTATAGCGGCCTCCCATGCCCCTAGTGAGGGACCATCGGTGGGCAGAAACAGCGCGGTCATCCGCTTCCTAAGGGGTGCTAGAAGGCTGAATCCGCCTCGTACCCCTACCACCAAGGGGCTTCCGGTCACGAAGCAAAGACTCTCTAGATGGATAGTATCCATCTCGCTAGCGTACTCTTCCTTGGGCCTCCAATGCCCCATTGGAGTACGGGCCCACTCGACTAGAGGCATCGCCTCGTCTTGGGCATGGTCCAGTGGTGTTTCCATTGCGGATATTTGTGAGGCGGACGGCTGGGCCTCGCCATCCACATTTGCAAGGTTTTTTAAACTGGAAGTCCCGGCCTTGCAGCCTAACCATTGGTTCGTACATTTTTTAATACACTGCACGAACCACTGGCCGTGCAGTTTCACTGCGTGAATGAAAAAGACTTCAGTTCAGGAGAAAAAGGCTTTTTTCCCATATGCGTCTAGCAGACACAGTACTCGTTCCCGTATCTCAGGGAACCGAGGTTACGTTAGTAACCGAGTACGTTTTGTGATCTAGCTAGGTTTTAGTCAGCTTTCTCTTGTTGGTAAAATGATGGGGGGTGTGATGTTCTATGGAAGGGTATCTTTTAATATACTTCACCCATAATGCCAAAATTAATGAGTGCTACAGAGGAATAACTAGTTTTGAACTAGTTTCAAAGATTTGACATTAAATATTTTAAAGATATTCAAGACCTTTTTTTTAGGCAGTTATGTTATTTCATTAAAATAATATGCACTTGTTTCTTTCGACAAATGGAAACTCTCACAAAGTCTGTGCACACTTTGCCACTTGCCGTGTCTTTTACTGTGACATCCTCAATTTCAAATTTATCTGTTCCTGGCACATAAAATAAAACTGTTGTTTGTTGTCTTAGTGGGTAGTTTTTGGCCAAAACAAGCTGCAAAGAGAAAGTCTGGTTTATAGCTCTCTCTATATATTTAGATTTGTGGAAATGCACTGAACCATTTCTAGCACAATTTTTGCTACTAACGTTTAAATCAGAACTATATACATATATTAAATTTGTGATATTCATAGTGTCAATCAGTTTTATATTGCTAGCAAAGTAATTGTGAATATATCATGAAGAATTGATTTATCAATGGCTCAAGATTGTGTTTGCTCAAAGTACCTTTGCCAGCCAGGCAGCACGGTTCCACTCTCCATACGTCTGCAGATAACGACAAGCATCCGCTGCTTTGTCGATCAGGCAGAGCAACTGCACACCCTCTAAGAGACAGAGATGCAGAGAGAAAGAGTGAGGAGACAACAACAAAAAAAAAAAAAAAAAAAAATTGTAAAAATTAATTTGGAATTTATGTGTTGTGGTTTTT